AAACAAAAATGAAGTCCAGTGCAAGATCTGCCAACGCAAGCTAGGATGCCACAAGTCTCCAATAAATTGTTATTTCAGAGTAATTTGGGGTCGGGTGAGCATCTTTTCTTGAGATGCCCATCTTTATTTTATGGAATATGAGCAAAGTGAAAATTCTTTGAGAGTAGCAAAATATAAAGTATTTATTTGGGGCTTAACCCAATGCATGGCACTGTTAACAGAAATAATAAATCTGAATAACCTGACTCGACCATCCAGTTCTCCCAGATCCTCGTTCACTGAGCAGCAGGGACTAAATGATGCTTAGATCAGCTATCTGTAGGCACCTTATTGTCTGTTGCAGGAGTCCTAATTCTTCTTGTCCCAGAGGGCGGTGTGCTTAGGGCCACTGTCCTGCTGCGGGGTTGCATGTACAAAGACACAGATACAGTATATCTTTGTTGTTTCAATAAGGGACATGCAGATGTTGTCGTATCATCTAGGAAATCATGATTTCATTGTGTTACTGTTTTCTGACATCTTACAGAGATCCAGCTAGCCTTGATACTTGTCATAGATTGATGTTGAAATACTAGTGCCAGCTGAAAGACTTTCAAATCATAGTGAAATAATGATTGAACCCACGACAACAACAAAACAGATTTCCTCTTCAACACAGCACTTGAGTCTTATTATGAGCACAGACTCCTCCCTCCATCCATAGGATGCAACAATGGCAATGATAGCATATCAATAGGGTGATGACCTCACCTGGTGCTTGTTGAGTCAAAGATCTCTGATTAGAGGTGCACAGATCCCCTAGGACTTGCTGCAGAAGTGGCCTTAATAGGATCTGATGTTTTTGGCCTGGGGCTCTGCACTCTGCTGTGCACCGCTAAGGCGTTGCCAGGGAACTGCACTGGCACGCCGGCTGCGAAGTACTCAGCTGGCTTGTGGTAGGTAGGGACTGCTGTTTTTGATCGAAACCTGCCTGCGTGATAGTGTTTGAGCACGCCATAAATGGTCAGCGATTCAAAGGCTTAAACCAGGCCACTCAGCACTATGGAAATATAGGTATGTGACTCACGGGGAACCAATAAAAACAGACCCAATAAAACAGCGGCCGAAGGTTCGTCTTTGCTTTTTTTTTTTACAAATCTGCACAATCTGCTCAACCTCCGGCTTGACCTTTGCTTTAGTTTACTGCATCATGAAAGTTTGATGTCTCACTTTACCTGGTGGGAGCATCTTTACAGCTCCCTCCCTTTATTTATTTATTTCTTTTAAGCCAACCTGATACAGGCATAAATATAGACTGATATTATAATCAGCAGCAGATGTCTGAAGAAGAGAGCAGCTGATAGATTTACCTGTGAATCATCCTGTATCCAGCGTGTGTGCAGCCAGCTCCACGCTGGACACACACACACCGGAAAAAATGATCATATATCATAACAGCTGACGTCAGGAAGTCTCAGGAATGAGGTTCAAGACAGCCAAGAATGTCCTTTTGTTCCGAGTGTGCACAGGAGTCATTGTGTTTGTCTTACTCGTGCATCACATCCAGCTCCTAAGTGGCTATTATCATGGCTGAAGACAGGACTTAAATCACAGATAAGATCTTAGGAAGCTTGGCAAGGAAGGGTTAGACGACTAAGATTTTCTTAACGTGTGCAATTCTGACGTTCACTCTTGGCTTTTTTCCACCTAGAGTAAAATTACAACTCCTAAAAAGAGCGGCGTATAAATCTGTCGTCTTAACCGCGTCGGTGCGAAAGCCCGACGTCGTTCACTTGGGATGAATTTGGCATCTATTTTTGCGGTCGTGTGCAGAGTAATGCTCACTGTAACGGCAAAGCTGACAGAGAAAACAAACACCGTCCCTGATAGAGATTTCAAATCTGAAAGCTTTGGTGTGTTTCTTTTGACTTAAATGTCTTCATCTCAAAGAGTTTTTCTTCTTTTTTTTTTAGATTTTTAGAGCTCGAGCACCGTTTCTATTTTTACAGCACTTTTTTTTACTACGGCATTATTAGTTTTATCAGCCTCAACAGCTGTCAGAGACTGACCTTGCTTGTGTCTGATTGATACCATCCTTTTCTGACTCTTTGTTCCCATGTAACTCCATATAAGGAGACCTTCAATTGAGTTTACTTAAACAGAGCTGCCAGAGACAGAGCGCAGTGACGGCCCTGCAGGGTTCAGCTCAGCTCAGATAAGATAAGAGCAAAGGTGAGAAAGTCGCTGAGGTGAGATTTTTCTCTTTTTTTTTTCTTCTTCCGGATGGATGGGTGGTTTGGCACTCGCCAGCTCTCGCTCTCCTAGTTGCTAAGCTCCTTTGTTTGTGTGTTGCTCTGCCTTTGGCTTCACTGTTGCGTATCAGGTTACATGTGGGAATGAGGTGCCGTGTGAGTTCAGCAGTTCCTTTGTCCCCTGAGTTGTGAATCCACTATCTAATGAATCTGGGAGCTTTGAATATACTCTGTGTAATTGCATAGCTACGGTTTTATTCTAAACTGGGCCCTGTACAGAATCAGATTACACTATCACGCTGTGGGATGTTGTGACGTCAGCAGGGGTGTGTGTTTGCATTGTTTGATTGTATTGTCTTCTGTGCGCTGAAGCATTTGTCTTCCTGAACCAAGATCTTTGATTCGGTGAAAGTTCCAGGTATGAGTCAGGATTGATTTGTTTTCTTAGATTGCATGCTGGCACACCAACATATATGTATATGTATATATATAGATAGATAGATAGATAGATAGATAGATAGATAGATAGATAGATATTAGAAAAATAACCTATACCAATAAATTCACAACAGGCCAGTATTGGCCGATGATGTCATTCAATCAATTAAACAGTTTTAAAAGTACCCATTATTCCCTGTATGAGCCAGTTAACTTTGTAACATTTTATTAGAATAGGGAGTTCTTTCTCTTGTTTCCTTGTTGTTTTGTAAAGCTTGATGGAGGTTAAAAGCAAAAATACAGCTGTTGCATTAATAGGAGACAGATGTGTAACATCTCCTGGACTGACCCTTCATTAAGGGCAGATGTGTCTACAATTACTTGCAACAAACTGAATTTTCACTGTTTTGCTGCTTCCAGAGTGTAACGGGATCTGCATCCACGGGCTGTGGTGGGGCATCCCAGCATCTGCATCCTATAGTGTTGCTCTGCGTTTCATAAGTGTTGCGGCTGGGGCTAATGTGTGTTACAGGGCTACTGCTGTATTCATCTGTTTTTTTAGATCTGGTAGCCAGGTTGCCGATTGCATAACTGAAGGATTGGTGCTTTTACACCCCGTCTGGGTCACTAGAAATCTTATTTTGAACAATAATGTGGAACAAATGCATCTGTCACCCAACCATTCGATCAATACTGTTTCCATGTCAGGGATAATTGATATGTATAGCGAGCCTGACTAATTAACTTAAGGTAACTCGTGTTATTGTTTTGCCAAACCAGGATGGTATTAATTATTCATGAATCTTGCAGTAGAGATGTTTCTGTTGGGACACTGTTTTTAATTACTGGACTGAGGTAAAACTGAACATACATGAAGGGTTTCTGTTGATTTTGCAGAGGTCTCTGTGTGTGCATATGATAACTGAAGGGACACATTGTTTCCTGTGTTCTCTGTGTTGTTTATTGACCAATGTTCAGTTTGTCCAAACAGCAGTTTGTCCTGTGAGACTCGATTTTCAGAATGTGTGCAGAGAAAACCTGTTACATATAACTTTTATACACAAAGATGTTTTTATGAAGGAGGGCCTACGAGGCCTCTGAGAGTGAAAGACAAAGAAAGAAAATCTGTAAGAAGTATTGTTTAGTTTAATGTTCTGTCAGCGAGCAAAGGCCTGTGTGACTGAGGCCTTGGTGAGGCGCTCACCTTATCATACTAAACATTTAACTTGTGAAAGGAATGCAAGAAAATCAATATTGGACTCGTTGGTATGTTTTAGCATGCTTACAAACTGAACAAGAGTCAAGCCATGCGAAACATTTAGAAGAAACGAGATTAATATAGCGGCTTCAGAAGTATTAATAACCTAATCTTCAGACAAACACATAGTAGGTTGTGCTCTGCGTTTCTAGTCTTAATGCTAAGCTAAGCTAACTTGCTGCTTAGGTTTGCTTTACATATATTATACAGATTTGACAACAGTACCAAACTTCTTGTGTAACACTGTTTAAACAAACCAATAAAATGAATACCCAATACATTTTAAAGTGCAGTCCTTTAGTTTCCAAATCAATTTCCAGATTTATTGCTAGTCTCTGTGCAGGTGAGTTAACCCCCACTCGAGCATGTCCGGTATCTCTTTTTCTGATGTCACCTAACTATTTTTTCTCATCTAAGGTTTGACACTTAGGGGGTTTATGCACTTTGTATCCTCTAAAAAAAACTCAAAAACACTAGAGATTCCACACTTGAAATGAAAAGCTTTAAAAAGTTTTACCTTCAGCACACCTCCAGCGATCATGCTGCGTTCATTTCCTCCTCCTCATCGCATGTAATAACATAAGAACCCCGTCCTTCCCTGAAAGCACTTTTGTAGTTATTCTTATTTTGCACCTTCTCTGACTATGGGCTGTGGACCACAACAATTACATTTCCATTTAGTCTGTTGTAGCTAACATTTACATTATAATTCCCCAGCAATGCCAGCTCAAGTTTCAAGTTGAAAAGTTCAAATGTAAAACAGAGGCTAGAGCTGCGAGGGAGGGTTGCCATAAAACACTGCAGGTTGTAGATTACACAGGAGAACACAATGCTCTTACTGTAGAACGCAGTGTGTGTCTTAGTGTGTTTGCAGAGCTGAAAGACACCCATATCTGGATTTAAAAAGTTTATCTTTCAGTGTAAAGCCAGCCTCGGTAACTGTTTAACTCATGCTCATTGTCCTTTTTCCTCCTAACCTCATCTGTTATTGTCAGAAAGGCAATGTAGCTATTTATAACTGGTGGAGGTTAATGAAAAATACATGATCTTTCTCTCTCTCGTGTCTTCCTCAGGTCCGAACACTATTTGTCAGTGGGCTACCACTGGATATTAAACCGCGGGAGCTCTATCTCCTCTTCAGACCATTTAAGGTATGTTTGTATGTTTTAAATGGATGGCCTGCTGCTATTCTTAGCAGCTTACTTTCCAGCAGTCAATGGGACCTCCATTAATGGTGATGAAATAAACGGCAATGGAAACTTTCCCGTGAGGTTTAAGTGTCTGTGTTCTTAAAGCCGACGTTCAATCACATCTTGATCCATGGGAAGCTTATGTCTCATGGAAAAATGGCTCAATGCCTGCGAAACAAAAACAAAGCTGTTTGCTTCATCTCAGAAGCACCAACTTTGTTGCAAGCACACAGACCCCCAGAGTTTAGTTCAGGTGAATACATGTAGATGTTGCAAGCTTTTTGAACTATCGACCAAGACTAACGCACCTTAATGGTGCAGCAGCAGCAGCAGCGCTGTTTAAGTGATTAATGCATCTAATCACTCACTTAAGCAATGTCCATGGTATGTGCTCTGAGTAAATGGTTTGCATCACGAGTGTTGAAAGCAGTAAATCTTGCTTAATCAGGTAAGACACAACAATCTAGTCCATATGGTCTTCATAAGAGCGCCGTGACCTGTGAAACTGCCAAGCTTAGTCCGCCGTGACCCCAACATGCCAACATTTTTGAGTAAGGTTTTGTAAGTGTAAGCAGTCTGCGTGTTTTGCAGCTTTTTAGCCACTAAAGTTGAATTTTTGCTTTGTTATGTGTATTTCTGACATTTTGTTTTCTGTTTTTTTCAGGGCTATGAAGGCTCCTTGATAAAGCTCACTTCTAAACAGGTATGCTAACAAGTCTTGGATCTGTGCTGTGTTCAAAGAAACTCCTGAGTGAAGCCGGTCAGTCTCTGATCACGCTGTTACTGTCCACATTACTTCTTGCTCATCGACACCTTTGCATCTTTTTCTTCTCTCTTTGTGTGTTTAGCTTGTTGAGAAAGAAGGATTAGCAGGAAGTGCCTTTAATAGAAAAGAAAATAACAAATAACAAAGAGGGAGGGAGAACGATGGGAGGGGAAAAGTGTTGCACCAACTTGCCTTTGGCAGTCGGATGTAGTGCTTGTAGTTACAGCGAGTCGACTGGTGGGCTGTGTGAGGACGAGGAAGAGAGACGGGGAAAGAGTTTCGAGGTGTCAAAGTGAGCGTTTTGACAAGAGCAGCACTGATGGTTGAGTTTTGCCTCCAGGGTTGCGGGACTGAAAATGAGCCCAGCTGGCAGGTGTCCACGTCCAGAGTGGAGCAATTTAGCTTCATGTCAGCTTACTTGTTGCCACTTTACACTGTTTCTCATAAAGACATGACATGCTCATTAGAAGGGTTTAAAGCGATTTGGGTTGAACTTGCTGAGTGTAATACCTTAAAACTATTCCTGAGACCAAGTACAAAGGGAAGCTTTAGGCTCTCTCTTTTTGTTTCACTGCTATTGCGTGCATTCAGAAAAACTCATTCTAATGTATGTATCTATAATTGAAGTCTAATTTAGCATTAACGGTTCTTCACTCTAGGCCTCATTGTTCTCACTTGTTTGGTGGTTTTGTTGCCAGTTATTTTCTTACAGTCAAGCACCTACAAGGTTTATACACGTGTGGCAGTGGGCCTGAAAATGGCCGAATTCAAAGATTAAAAGGTGTGGCTCGATACTTTTGTCCATATAGTGTTGTTCACAGCATGCTGTGTTGTTTGTCAGATAGTTCCACCTAAGTTAGCCAAGCTGCAGCTACCTGTTTTGGGACACCTGCCAGTCGAAGCAGCCTCTCCCCTGAGTTTCAGCCTTACCCTATCGATCAATCAATCAATTATTAAAAACATCATGTATGATGTACTTGTTATGAAGGAAGAAACTATCAACCGAGACTTGAACAGCTTGCTGTAAGATGCTATTTAATGCTGTTTAGTAGGACATTTTAACATGAGAGTCTATGGGGATTGACTCGCTTTTGTTGGCAGCCTCAAGTGGTCACTAGAGAAACTGCACTAGCTTAATTTTCAGCCCCTGGAGAATATTTGGCTTTTAGACTATGATGGACTTTACCACCTGTTTTACATTTGTGATTAAACTGTGACTCGGAGCGATGTTTCCCTAAGTGGCATCTTCAGCGAGAGAACTGCTGTGAACTGATGCTTATGTTAAGACAAAGTGCTGCCCCCCATTTCCCCAGGGTTTGTTTGGAGCAGCTCTCCTCCCTGTTAATGTCAATGACAATGACCACGCAAATCAATCGATCTCTGTCTCTCTCTTCCAGTCCAAGAACTCCCAGCCATGTCCATATATAGCAAAAGCCTGATCTCAGAGCCTTTCTATTTATATTCCTGTTATGCTTCCTCCTCCTGACGTCTTCACTTAGTCTTTCTTTTCTTTTTGTGTTACTTTTCGGGGGGTTTCTTTTCCTCCACATCCTCCTCCTCCTCCTCCACTGCACTTCTTCAGAATTCCCATAACCCTAGACTGCTTTTCCAGATCACACACAGCAGTGTGACCCCATGGGAGTAACATGTTTAGAGTTTTCTGCAATCTCTCCCCCACCACCACCACCATCACCACCCCACCTTCTCCCAACGTCCCCATCCACATACAAGACAAAAATACGTATTTTCTGTTCATATCTGCAGTCAGAAATCCTGCAGCCGCACCTACACCCCTGTGAGTGTGTGGTTTTTTTTCCTGTTTTATTTCTCCTCACCTTTACTACTGGCTTTGAAGCGATGTCGCTGGAATATAAAACAAGTGTGGGTGAAACAGATGCGAATGAGAAAATGCTGCACTGACAGGCCTGTTTGAGGAGGTCTTTAAGAAAAAAAACAACAACTTTTTCTACCCGTCGCCTCACTTGCTTTCATTTTCACCTTTAACCCTTGAAATTCCCTTTCCTTCCCCCTCCCCCCTTCCTTTCTATCTTCTTCTCCTTTTTCAGCTTTTACTCCCTTCTCTGCCTGTCTCACACTAAACTCTTACATGCTTGTTCTCACTCCTGCATTGCCCGTATTTGGGCAAAGGGGAGCCGAATGATGAACTTTACAATGAAAGTGCGTCCAGCCTCCAACCGCCCTCCGCCTCCCCCTCCCCGTTCTGTCGCAATGGTTTTATAAACAGGAGAGAGGGAGAGGGAGGCAGAGAGGTAGGGGGTGGGGTATGCTAAGATGTAAAAATATATATATATATATATAAAAACATGTCTTTGTCACTCAGACAGGAATGCCGACTCAGTTTTCTGCCTTAAACCATGTTTCTTTCTTTTGTTCTGTCTCCTTGTCTCCCCAGCCGGTGGGGTTTGTCAGTTTTGACAGTCGATCAGAGGCGGAGGCTGCTAAGAATGCCTTGAACGTAAGTGTCATGCCCTCGTTGTGCTCCAGCTCAGCTCTAGTGTTTCTCGTGAAATCTCATCTTTTTTTTTTTTACTGCCTTTAGTGCAAATGTATTTGAAAGCGGGGGGGAAAGCGTTTTCTGTCGCACGAGGAAAAAGCTGAAAAGTGAAGCAGCGAAGGCAAATATATCACAGCTGCTCTAAAATAGCGTGTGTCTGAATGTTTCTGTTTGAGTAAATAAAGTCTTTTTTCTTTACTTTAAGCTCTGCGAGAGATCCTGCAAGGTCAGAAGAAAATTAGCTGTTCTTCCACATAAAAATAGAAGATATTGATCTAGGGTTTAATTTTAATCTCTCGTATTTCAGAATGTGGCTCAGTAGAAAGCCTTGATGAGGCAGACTCTAATACAAAACAGAGCTCATCTTCTCACGCGGTTTTTATTCGACTCGTTTGAAACAAAGTGTAGACAGACGGTAATGAACGCCGCCTGTCTCCTACACCTTTGTTTTCCCATTGTTGTTTTTGTCTTCACCATGCACCGCCCTCCTCCGATTGCCTCTTAAGTTTTTGTTGATGTCTTTATGAAGGCAGCAGATCACTTTAACGGCCCTCCTCTTAAGTGGGACCGTGACAGCGCGAGCGGTGTGTCAACTTTCTCAGATGTCGAGATATTGGTGCTCGTCAAACGTAGAGCAGAGAGTTGAACAAAGGATAAAAATTATCATCTTATTATGAGCCAACAACAGCGAGACTGTTTCCGTAGAAGGGCTCAGTGGGGCTGAGAATTCAACGCTGCTCTTGTTTTTCAGGGAAAGCTACGTCCCGGGGGGTCATATGGAGATAAGCCAGATTCTGCAAACATCCATCTGCATATTGAAATATGGGCAAGACGCAGAAAACTGGGAGAATTTGGGGATTTGTTTCCTATCATAGTAGCTCTCTTATATTCCCTCCAAGCTGTGAGCCTCGAAAACCAAAAACTGAATTACCTCCAACAGTCAGAATCAAAGCTCTACATGGAGAAGGTGCTATAAAAAGACATTTCGAGGTAGATATTCAACACATTTCAAGCAGAGGTGTGCTCGGGCCTCATTATTGCCATGTAGCTTATTACACCTCTGCAGCCTCTACTGGCAGAAGCCGCGAGTGCGCTGAGCCGAGGCAATCCCAGTTAATTCCCTCCCCTTCATGAGAAGAGTCATCCCTCGCTTGTTTCAGCCTTGCTTTGCCCGAGCCTGCAGGGATGAGTGCAAGTTCTCGTTTGCTGCCGAGAACTTGCACTCCTGGCTGCTTTTCTCCTCCGCTGAGCTGACCTTCGTGCTTTTCTATATCATTTACAGGCAATCAAATGAGGTTAATTTCAGGGCGTTTATAGTTCCTGGTAAAAATGTGTCCAAGCGGAGTAAATGAATAGCAACTTTGACGATGCCACATTCCTGTTGTTTTTCTAATCCCCATATGTGGAGATGTTTGATGAAGATCTGATGGCAGGGCAGCTTTTTCCTTTGGCCTGTCGTGAGCAGTGGCATCTCAAGAATTCGCCAAAATGTTTGGCTCACTCTAAGCGGTGATGCCTGGCGTATGTCAGGGTATTTGATGTCATGGTATTAAATTACACTGCAGTTCAGTGGGGAACAGAGTGAGGGCCTTGTGGCTTGTCTGCTTGTGTTGTAAATGACATCATGCGCCAGCCAGGTTTGTGTCATCAAGTTCTGATTTCCCATTGCATGTGTCGCTCAGAATAAGCAGCTTCAAAGGCTAAAGAAATGAAAACGCTCTCGTCACGCCAAGATTTCAGCAGTAAATTGTACTGTGAAATTGAGATGATGAAAAGTGGACAAAGTGACAATTCCAGATCAAGCTAAACAACAGATAACAAGACAGGAAGTGCAGCAATGGAAACTGTACGCGTTATCTAATAAGTGCTGTGGGCTAAATTAGTCTGCTTCGTCACTACTTAAAGGAACAAGGCGGCACGTCTGTCAGTCGCTCCCTATTATTTATAACATCATCGCTTCACTAATGAGCAGACTTATTTATTTGGTCAGCCTCTTTATTGCCAAACCAAGGTATTAGCTGTTGCATTTTTAACATCATAAAGCGTCATCATGTGCTGATCATGCGCTAATTTCACTTCACTAAACCTTCCAGGAAAGCAAAAGACAGATAAGGACGTTATAAACAGATTGTCTGCGCTTATATTTCGACTGGGAGCAGTAAGAGAAAAAAAACATTTTAAATATGGAAACGGTCGGCATTTAAGATAAGTTGAAACCAAATGCAAGAACTGAAATATCCATGGTTCCAGTCTGTGCCACAACAACCTGTCTACTATTCAACAACATGCATGTAGAAGTTATATTACCTGTGAAAATGAACTTGATTTAATCATGACAATAAATCTGATTATATGCATTTGTGTTGAGGAAATATTATTCCTCAACACAACTGCATATAATAATTAAAATATAATTCAAGCACCCCTGAATATCAGATATGGCAGAACTCAGATTTTGATTAATGCAGCGGTCCCCAATCTTCTCTGCGCCACGGACCAGTTTAATGTCAGACAGTATTTTCACGGACCGGCCTTTAAGGTGTCGTGAATAAATACAACAGAATAAAATTATACTGCTAAGACAAAAACTTTGGTATTTTATAAATATAATAATAAATGCGAATTCACTGTGTAATTGTGTAACTTTATTAGCAGCGTCCTCCTGAAAT